TTCTTTTCTTTGCTTGAAATAAGATGGAAAATTGAGTAAGTTAAATCAGACACTTTTTTATGATATTTTTGTTTTTCATGACATTTTATGACACATTAACTACATTTTAAGCTAATTATTTTTCAAAAATGTTTAAAATTAATTTTAAAACCATTTATTAAAGAAATAATATTAACATAATAATACCGTAACTCTATCATTTAAATTTAAAAGTAATCAAAAAGCACTTGACATTAAAATACATTGTATATTTTTAAAATAAATAGTTTATCTTTCATTCTTTAAAAATTCATTTAAGCTCTAAGGTTTAATATCTTCGCCGAAACATTATATTTAATTTGTAGGAGTGTATTAATTTCATAGGATAATTCTGAAAAAATTAGTGACCATCGAAATTAACTGAGTGCAACATTATGTCTATACATTTGACATTAATATCAAAATAAGAAGATTAACTATAATAAACATTTATAATTTAGTAATTAAAATTTAATTTGAATACTACTTAAAATAATATTATTACGCTTGGTAAGACTATTTTGTATTTTTTTAAACAATTTCTTGTTTTTGATACTAAATTTTAATATTTAAATATTTTTAGTAAAAATATTTGACTACTAAAATTGTAACAAATTTATTCTTGATTTCTAAAATACAGGATGTTTATAAAGTCCCGGACCTATTTTGATGTTTAATAACTCATAAAATAATAAAGATAGATAAAAATTAATAACATAAATGGTTAGATAGACTAAAAAAGTTTCATGACCCTTGTCAATGAGCTTCCACGTGTGCCCCCTTCATCGCATGGAGAATATCAAATCGATAGTCAATTTAACGCAAGTAGCAGCAAACGTTATGAGTTATTAAACTTCAAAATGGATCCAAAATGGGTGTTTCTGGCATTGTTAATCGCCATAATGTGCATATATGGGGATTTGAAAACCCCCATGAATAATGTGAGACACAAAGGGGTTCCCAAAGGTTAATGTGTGGTGTGGACTAATGCACGACCGAGTCATTGATTGGGCCTTTCTTTTTTATAGAAAAGACGATCTCGTCAGTCGTATACTTAGACATGTTGGAAAACGTATCAGTCGTATTTCCACAACTAGAAGAGCCTCAGCCACATGTCTTTTTCCTTTTGGGATTTATAAGGGACAATGTTTACAGGAGGATCGTGTCGAACATTGATGACCTAAAAGCCAGAATTACACCAGCAGTAGCCTCTGTGGATGCCGACATGCTTGCCGCTACCTGGCGTGAAATTGACTATCGACTTGATAGTCTCCGTGCGATGAACGGGGCACACGTGGAAGTTCATTGAAGAGGGTCATGAAACTTTTTGAGCTTATCTAACCATTTATAATATTAATTTTAATCTATCTTTTTTATTTTATGAGTTATTAAACATCAAAATGGGTCCGGGACTTTATAAACACCCTGTATATAATTTCATATTATTTAGCTTTATTGTGAAATATGTTGACAAAAATAACATAAAACTGTCATAATTAAAAAAACGCATATAAAATAAATGAAAATGATATCTTTTTGTTGCAACATTAAATTACACTTTTTAAAATAAAATAAAAGCATTTTACATTATCGTTTACAGTATCGTTTTACGTTATCGTCTTGTCCCTATGAAACATAATTTTTTCCTTAGAAACTATAAAAATAAAGAAAACGCTGAATTAGAAATTGCTTAATCGGTACGATGCTTCCGTACTCTGCATTTCTACACTCTACATTTCCAGTATTTTAACTATAATATTTAAACCCTTTGTAAAATTAAAATTAAATTTATTATTGCCTGAGAGGTTATTTAGGATATAATTTTTGTTTATATTTTATTTAATAAAAGCTTTAACTGCCTAAACAAATGAAAAAGAGACTCGGTTAAAAACCTCTTAACATTTACGTGATTCCTTTACAGAATCAAAAAATTTAAATTTCTGAACGACACAAAATCACCAGTAATAGTCGTTTTGCTTTTATATCAACGTATTGCTTTTATATCAACGTAGAAATAGCTTTTAACTAGGCCAGAAAAATTTAAATTATTGGGTTGTCCCTGCCTTGGTGTATTCTTACTTCAACGTAGATATAAATAAATCAGATAGCTTGCTCAGATAGCTCAGATAGTGATATAAATAAAACGAGTCTAAAAATATCTTCGAAATTACATTCATTGATAGGCAGATAAATATTAAAATTGAATCATAGTTTAAATTATGTCTCAAACTCTACTCGTAAAATGCAAGAAAGAAAACTTTGACATAAAATCAAGGAATTAAAATGTTATTTTCTTTAATATCCACCTTTAAAATTAATAATAAGATAATTATAAAATAATGCTTGTTCAATGATATATAAACTTATTCAGAGCAATGCTTTTGCTGATTTATACGAGCTATATCAAAATAAAAAAAATATTTCTTACTAAATGCAAGAATAAAAGTAAAGTCATGAAAAATTCACCTGAAACATTTATTTTTAACACAGTTTTTTACATATTTCGCATGGAGTAAAATTATACTTTTCTTACAGATGGAAGTATAAGTAAGTTGTTTTCATATTACTCACCGGGTATAAATGTATTTTAAAATAAAAACTCTACAAGTAAAATTTTTTCTTTGGTGGGATATATTTCGTGCAAAGTTATTAAAATTCGCTTATTTTTACCGGTTATTATTTTTTTCAGGAAACCTTATTTTATCTAGTTTAAGTCCATGAAAGTTATAATTTTCACTAGTATGAAAGTATGTTCGTGCTTACTACTCAAATCGTAAATATAAATTTGAATAATATTCATGATTACTATTCAAATTTATGTCAATTCCTTGCTACATAACATAAGATACTTTACTTCTCATTATTTAGTACAAGCCCTTAGAAACAACAAAATGCCTGTAATTAGATGCCTGTAATTAGATTAGATTTTAATGCCTGTAATTAGATTTTATTCATTGAAGAATAAGTGGGCTGATGAAAGGATTATATCTTTTATTTTCCGGTTTTTTAAAAAAATTTCATCCTTTTTTTTCTAAAAATTTCATTCTTATTTTTTATATATATATA